ACCACTATTCTACGTAATCCTTTTGGAATTAACTAGCAATTCCAGTCTCAGTCAGTCTTCCAGTCCATTAACTCTCCTTTCCAGATACAGGTATTTTGTAATCTTGATAAGCACACACTTTGTAGTTGCATTTAGGTCTTTGATAAAAGTATTGAGCAGAACACAGATACCATCGGAACATGTGACGTATGCTGGAGGCCTCATCCGAGGAGACGTTGATTTATTACTCACCACTCTGTGCTTGCCACATGTTCTTCGGGCTACCTTGTATGCAGGGAGACTTTGAGAGTTGTTGATAAGTGCTTTTGTTAAAACAGAGATGTGATACGTCTGTTCCATCCTCTCTACTAGTAAATTATGAGGTTAATCAGTTAACTCCTTTTTTTGTGAACTCATAATTCCAGGAAGCCATGTGGGCTCCTAGTTGCCAGGCCTTCTAATATTTCAAGAGAAACTAGAGATTCTTATATGGAACTGCCTTGGTAATGTCAAGAAAACAAAGGTACAAAGGTGAGGCTCCTAAAAATCAGAAAGTCTTTTTCTCTGTACTTAAAAATAGGATATGTTCTAAAATTTTGTCAGCATTTCCTCTCAAGTTCAGTTGTCTATAGCTTGGAGAATTTATCCTCCATTTGTTTTAGACATTTTAGAAGATTCTTCTAATTCCGTGTTCTGGGTGATTTCCTAAACTTAGCTTCACCAGTATTGGGTACCAGGTGGGGGTTTTATGCCATTATCTTCTTACTCTGCAGGGGTTCTTTATTCAGCAATTTCTTCTTATATTTTGGGATCTGAATAAATTCACTGAAAGCACCAGACATTCTATCCTAATCACTTTCCAAAAGTAATAGCTTCCACAGGTAACACCAGCACTTTTTCAAAATATGATGTGTATGGCCCACAAAATGGACAACTCATACTTCCTATTTTATGTCCCTTTTGGAAGGGGAAAGGAGTGTATGTGAAATTTTCTATAAAAGTATAGTAATGTAGTAATAGCTCCATCCGTAGTGATGCTTTTTGTTTTTCAAATGGTTGAATAACCAATACTTCAGAAAATGAATCTTTTGTCCTCTTTTTAAAAATAGTGCTGTTGGGACCAGCAGGCGGCGTGGTGGTTAAGGCACTGGACACTCCCACATGACCAACCATAGTTTGAGTCCTGGACTTGGTAACTTGATGTTTCACTTGCCCTCTCTCTCTGTGTGTCTCTCTCTGGTCAAATTAAAATAAATGAATGAATAAATAAAATTAAATAAATAATTCTTTTAATAGATACTTCTTTAAAATTAAATAAATAATTCTATTATTGTACACCAGATTTATGATCTAAATTTTAGTAACTATGGGAATATCAAATACATGAAGGATTTGACTTGTTGGATGTCTTACCTTTCTCTCTGTTGCCATTTTTATAGCTAACACTGAAATGCATTCTTACACACACACACACACACACACACACACACATATAAACATATGGTATATTCATAGGTAAATCTTCTAATACTTTTTTATTTTTGGTTATTTCCTTCTGGAAAGTCTATGAGAGTGGAATTTCAGTTAAAGGATATATACTTTATTTTTAAAAAATTTTGCAATAGGATGTACATACCTGCCTGAGAGATGGGGATGGAGGGCAAAGAGTAAAATCATCTAAAGGGGAATGGCCATACTGCCGTCCTTTCTCCTCTCAGGATTTTGGACATGCATGCACATGGGCCCGACATGTATTTCAAGCTACTTGGTGCGGAACTTGAACTGCACTGTCAGCCATGTTGGATCCAGCCGCCTTAATCTCTATGCTACAGGCTGGCCCTATTACATACTTTTTAAAGCCTTTCATGCGTATTGTCAATCTATCGATCTTCCAATTGAGACACCCACCAACAGTAGGAGAGATAGGCAAGACTGCCTGTTTTCTTCCCTCATCATCACTGGTGTGGATGAATTTTGAATGAGTGGCATGATTGGTTTGGAAGCTGAGTCTGATAAAGTAGAAGGCTTTGTAAAACAAGCCTCAGGCATGGGCTTTTTGGAACCGTATCCACATTCTCCAAGGATATGTCTTGGTCTTGTCTGTCTTATGCCTTTTCCTTCCTGAGCTTTCTGATTTCCAGCAGTTCTGCCACCACGTGTGGGTCCCCCATTCTGGAACGTGCTGCTGTTCTCACACATTAGTCAGGCCTTCCCGCTCCCGAGTTCGCCTTCTGTTCCTCTTTCCTCCGGATGGGTTATTTCCCATCAGTGTCTGCAGTAAGGATGGTGGAGTGTGTGCAGACGCATGATCTGCCAGCACAGCTGGGCCGAATCTTGCTTCAGAGCCCTCGTTGGATCCCATACAACAATTCATTTTTCTGGGCTTAGTTAGAACTGTGATAACTTCAGTGGGAGTGAAAATGGATAGATTAGTAACTATGACATTTGGATGCCTATGTCCAAATAAAGCTTGATGTTTAAAATTCTGTAGGTTAAAGCTGTTCATGAATCAAGTCAAGAATATGCATATGCCACGTCTGAAGCTGACTTTTATATTCTCAGTTGTTTTGGCAAAGAGGTATTGTTTCTGTAGGAGAAGCAGATCCAGTACATGAGAATAAAGACCTGGGATTACTGTTTTGGTGAAATGGACTGAAGTATAGACAACTAAACACAATACCACTTAGGGTGTGTGTGTACGTATACACACACACACACATATACACACACTCCCCCAAAGAACCATACCTTGTGTACAAGTGCATTTTTTTCTTTTTGAGAAAGAGATTTTTTGCTATAGGATATGTGTGCCCACCAGAGAGAATCAGAGAGACAAAGTGAGAAATCACTCTCCAGGGGATATGGCCATTCCACAATCCATTCTCCTCCTGGGGTTTTGGGCATGCACACACACACATATGCCTGGCATGAGTTTCAAGCCGCTGGGTCTGGAACTCGAATCGCGGTTGACGACATGGGAGTCCAGTACCTTAACCACCAAGTGCTGGGTCCCAAGTGCATTTTTTCTATAACTCTATAGACTCAATGGCAGAACATCCTGTTCTGTTATTGAATTTAAGTCAGTCTTCTCTCTATTCTGCATTTTTGTCAATATTTTTAAGCTGATGCACAATTGATTTCCCTTCTTACGCTTTTCTTTTAGTTTTTTTGTCATTGTCTTAGAAGCCAAGCTCTGAACTCCTATGATCTTGGAATCCTACTACTAGGCAAACATCTCAAGAAAAGGAAATCAGTAAGTCATAGAGATGTTTACACTCCCATGTTTATTGCACTCTTATTCACAGTAGCCAAGAATCGACTGAGGTATCTGTCAACAGATGAACGGATAAAGAACACTTGCTGTATATATACAATGGAATACTATTTGGCTGTTGAGAAGAATGAAATTCTGTCATTTAAGGCAACATGGGTACACCTGGAAGATACTCGGTTAAGTAAAATAAGCCAAGCACATAAAGAAAAATCACTTGTTCTCATTCATATATGGGAACTGTTCTCTTATAAGTAGGGAATAGAATAGTGGTAAATAGAATCTGGGAAGGGTGAGGGGTTGAGGAGATGTTCGTTAACAAATACAACATTACAGGTAGGAAAGAGGAATAGAACAGTAGTGTAACTATAGTTAATGATTTCCTATCAAAATATCTAAATTATAGGATATCGAAGGTTCCCAACACAAAGTAGTAATATTTGTTTGAGTTATAAATATATTGATTACCTTGATCCAGTCATTACACATTATATCTATATAGTGGAAAATTACACTGTATGCCATAAATATGTGTAATTTCTTTTTCTGTTTTAAAACATTTATTTACTTATTTATTTCATAAGAGGGAGAAAGAAGAACCCCCAACAGGGTCCCAAGTCACCCATCTCAGCCAGTTAGGATCACAGACACACCTGTGTGCATGACATTCATAGGTCAGCTTGGGAACCGAACCTCAGTCTTCCAAATAGCTTCCATGTTAGAGGTGTGTGTTATCACCATGCCACTGGGGCTGGACCATTATTTACAATTATTATATGGCAATTAAAAATAATTTTTAAAAATCGATGAAGGGACCAGCAGATGGTGTAATGGTTACGTTGCTGGACTCCCATGTAGTCGGACCATGGTTTGATTCCCAAACCCATGACTTAAAATCATGGTGGGTATGTGTGCATGTGTGCTCAAGATCCTGAGAGGACAATGGAGGAAAAGGGGTTGCTACATGGTCATACCCTCATTGGGGGTGGTGGTGGTGGTAGTGATTTTTTTCCTTTTTGTCTCTCTGGTGAGTGCACACACCCTATAGCAAAAATCTCACCAAAACAACAACAACAAAACCCCAAAATCAGATTCTGAGATCTGTGAGAATTTTTGTTAAAAAACACTTAACACAAATTCTGAAACATCATGATTTGGCTCATCTTTTTATTAATTTCAGCTGCATTTGTCATAGCATGTAGGTGCCCTAACGTGGGGGTCTCTGTGTGGGATGGTAGACGATGAATAACCTGCCAGCATGGTTCCTGGCAGCACCATGGGGAGAGAACATGGTCATCCCTGGTTTGTCCCAACTGTGACTGCAGTCATGGTCTTGGAGCTTCTGTCATCCCCCGTGGCTGTGGTTCTGACCCTTAGTACTTTAGACTTGCCTTTGAACACTCAGCTGCTAAGGAGGAGTTGGTGTGAAAGCAAGAACATCGCAGGGGTGTTTGCGTTAGCCATGGAATGAGGGACAGACAGGTTCAGCACTGGCTTGCTTGCCTTCTCAGTGAGACCCAGGTTTCCAGAACTTTAATGATATTGTATTGCACATGCATGGATTTCTGCAGATAGGAGACATCTCAGACATGAAAAAATTGACATATTCCAATGTACGAAATAATCTGATATTAGGAATCACTTGAAAACGATTGAGTAACTTGTCTTTTTAATATAGATTCCCTCTATTTTCCTCAAGTTACGTTGTGTTTAGAGTCAATACAGGTTTGCTTTTGTTTTTGTTTTATAGGCTGAACATATTTTTGACGGGCATGGACCCATTCTACTTTCATGCAGTAAATGTGATATTACACTGCTTAGTGACGCTCGTGCTGATGTACACCTGTGATAAAACTGTCTTCAAGAATCGTGGACTTGCTTTCATTACGGCGTTGCTTTTTGCTGTGCATCCTATTCACACTGAGGCGGTAAGTATAATTGGAACACAATGAAATAATGAACCAAAAAACAATACATGTATACACACGATATGTGTATAGACTGGGTCGTTGGGAAAGTCATGACACATTTTTGCACAGAAAAACAGAAAAATACATTGTGACTTTTCCGATGACCCAATATAAGCTAAGCCCATTTTTTCCCCTTTCAAAGCCATGTGACTTAAAGTGCTAGTGAAATGTTTACCTTTATATAAAACATTCTACTTGACGACTTTCTGGTTGAATGTTCAAATTGGCTTTATTGCATCTATAGGATTTAACTGCTTTTCTACATAACCATTGTTATTATTTCAGATAGTAATGAAAGTTCGCGGTTTTTTCTTTACAGAAAATTTAAGTCTTAATGTAGTTTAAACAGCAAGAGGCATTTTGAGAGACTTACCATGCTGAGTCATTGTTCCTACTCTGCGTTTCTATTTTACTTTTTCTCACTCTGTGTCATATTTATAATATGGATGATGCAGAATGACAGGTACTGGGGAAAGCCCATAAAAGTTAGACTGACTTTCTTCAAGTCAGAAAGATAGACCAAGGAGACTAGCAGATTGTTTTCCAAGAGATTTAAGAAGTGTGGTTACTTTGCGAACGATGAGAAATTGATTTAGAAGTATTGCTAGTTTGGCTCCGTGATGCTCTTGACAGTACTTACTTCATCATGCCACAGATGAGATGGCATTGCTCAGCTGCCTTGCCTCACGTCTCAGGAACACAGCTGGTTTATCTGATGTGTGTTGCTCATGCAAAGTGCAGGTTTTCTGAGGGGTACGTCAACACCACGGTTTCAGAACAATCTTTTACAGCACCTCAAATTGGATCTGGACAGTTTCCTGAAGTTAATCTGCCTGAGAACATATCTTCAGTAGATATGTCCCTTTGTCCCCCTACCCTCTTTTTCCATTGCCCTTCTCTCATTTTAATGAAAATTAAGAATATGGGGTTGGTGCCAAAGCAAGTCCGGTTTCAGACCATACATTTTCAATAATTATAGCGAGGCTCAAACACATCTTTATTAATCAAAATAGGAACCATTATAATCAACACATTTTTGCCAACAAGAAGTAAGTTTAAGCCTGTGGCATAAAAATGCGTGCTTTGGTGTGTGTGTGGGGGTCAGCAGGTGGTGTGGTGGTTAAGGTGCTGCACACCCACATGACCGACAGTGGTTCAAGTCCTGGACCTGTGACTTGAAAATCATGCTGAGTGCATGTATGTGTGTGTGTGTGTGTGTGTGTGTGTGTGTGTGTGCGTGTGTGCCTAAAAATCCTGAGGAGAATGAAGAAGGGATTGTGATGTGGTCATATCCTCTGGGGGGCGGTTTCTTACTTTTCCTCTTTCTCTCTGGTGAGCACACATGCCCTATTGCAAAAACAAAAGTAAAACAAATCTGTTTCTTTTTTTTTAAGAGAGTGATATTTGCTATAGGGTGTGTGCATTCACTGGAGAGACAGAGAGACAGAAAGTGAGAAATCACCCTTCAGGGGGCTTGCCACACTGCAGTCCCTTCTTTGCTCTCCTTCCAGGATCCTGGGCACACATGCACATATGACCTGAGTGAGTTTGAGGCCACCAGGTCCAGGACTTGAACCGCAGTGAGCCATGTGGGAACCCAGTAGCATAACCATTATGCCATCTGCTGGCTCTTGACGGACTTTTGGAAAGAATCTTCTGCATTTTGCTGGTTGCGGCAGCGTTTTCCCGGTGCAAAGTTGTCAAGATGCTTGAAGAAGTGGTACTTGGTTGGTGAGTCAGGTGAAAATAGCAGATAAGGCAAAACCCTGTCCACTAATTATAACTTTTGAAGTATTATGTTGTTGTGGAGAAGAATTGGGCCCTTTCTGTTGACCAGTGCTGGCTGCAGGAGTTGCAGTTTTCAGTGTGTCTCATCCATTTGTGGCGTCTCGGATGTAATGATTTCGCTGGGATTCTGAAAGCTGTAGTAGCTCAGACCCCATCAAACAGTAACCATGGCCCTTTTTTTGGTATAAGTTTTGCTTTGGGAAGTACTTTGGAGCTTCTTTTTTGGTCTAACTACTGAGCTGGTCATCCTTGGTTGTCATATAGAATCCACTTCTCAGTGCGTGTCACAGTTCAATCAAGAAATGGTTTGTTGTTGTGTAGAATAAGAGATGATGACACTTCAAAATGAAGATTTGTAAAAACTTTCAGTAAGCTCATGAGGAACCCACTTATCGAGCCCATGGTTTGATTCCCAAACCCATGACTTAAAATCATGGTGGGTATGTGTGCATGTGTGCTCAAGATCCTGAGAGGACAATGGAGGAAAAGGGGTTGCTACATGGTCATACCCTCATTGGGGGTGGTGGTGGTGGTAGTGATTTTTTTCCTTTTTGTCTCTCTGGTGAGTGCACACACCCTATAGCAAAAATCTCACCAAAACAACAACAACAAAACCCCAAAATCAGATTCTGAGATCTGTGAGAATTTTTGTTAAAAAACACTTAACACAAATTCTGAAACATCATGATTTGGCTCATCTTTTTATTAATTTCAGCTGCATTTGTCATAGCATGTAGGTGCCCTAACGTGGGGGTCTCTGTGTGGGATGGTAGACGATGAATAACCTGCCAGCATGGTTCCTGGCAGCACCATGGGGAGAGAACATGGTCATCCCTGGTTTGTCCCAACTGTGACTGCAGTCATGGTCTTGGAGCTTCTGTCATCCCCCGTGGCTGTGGTTCTGACCCTTAGTACTTTAGACTTGCCTTTGAACACTCAGCTGCTAAGGAGGAGTTGGTGTGAAAGCAAGAACATCGCAGGGGTGTTTGCGTTAGCCATGGAATGAGGGACAGACAGGTTCAGCACTGGCTTGCTTGCCTTCTCAGTGAGACCCAGGTTTCCAGAACTTTAATGATATTGTATTGCACATGCATGGATTTCTGCAGATAGGAGACATCTCAGACATGAAAAAATTGACATATTCCAATGTACGAAATAATCTGATATTAGGAATCACTTGAAAACGATTGAGTAACTTGTCTTTTTAATATAGATTCCCTCTATTTTCCTCAAGTTACGTTGTGTTTAGAGTCAATACAGGTTTGCTTTTGTTTTTGTTTTATAGGCTGAACATATTTTTGACGGGCATGGACCCATTCTACTTTCATGCAGTAAATGTGATATTACACTGCTTAGTGACGCTCGTGCTGATGTACACCTGTGATAAAACTGTCTTCAAGAATCGTGGACTTGCTTTCATTACGGCGTTGCTTTTTGCTGTGCATCCTATTCACACTGAGGCGGTAAGTATAATTGGAACACAATGAAATAATGAACCAAAAAACAATACATGTATACACACGATATGTGTATAGACTGGGTCGTTGGGAAAGTCATGACACATTTTTGCACAGAAAAACAGAAAAATACATTGTGACTTTTCCGATGACCCAATATAAGCTAAGCCCATTTTTTCCCCTTTCAAAGCCATGTGACTTAAAGTGCTAGTGAAATGTTTACCTTTATATAAAACATTCTACTTGACGACTTTCTGGTTGAATGTTCAAATTGGCTTTATTGCATCTATAGGATTTAACTGCTTTTCTACATAACCATTGTTATTATTTCAGATAGTAATGAAAGTTCGCGGTTTTTTCTTTACAGAAAATTTAAGTCTTAATGTAGTTTAAACAGCAAGAGGCATTTTGAGAGACTTACCATGCTGAGTCATTGTTCCTACTCTGCGTTTCTATTTTACTTTTTCTCACTCTGTGTCATATTTATAATATGGATGATGCAGAATGACAGGTACTGGGGAAAGCCCATAAAAGTTAGACTGACTTTCTTCAAGTCAGAAAGATAGACCAAGGAGACTAGCAGATTGTTTTCCAAGAGATTTAAGAAGTGTGGTTACTTTGCGAACGATGAGAAATTGATTTAGAAGTATTGCTAGTTTGGCTCCGTGATGCTCTTGACAGTACTTACTTCATCATGCCACAGATGAGATGGCATTGCTCAGCTGCCTTGCCTCACGTCTCAGGAACACAGCTGGTTTATCTGATGTGTGTTGCTCATGCAAAGTGCAGGTTTTCTGAGGGGTACGTCAACACCACGGTTTCAGAACAATCTTTTACAGCACCTCAAATTGGATCTGGACAGTTTCCTGAAGTTAATCTGCCTGAGAACATATCTTCAGTAGATATGTCCCTTTGTCCCCCTACCCTCTTTTTCCATTGCCCTTCTCTCATTTTAATGAAAATTAAGAATATGGGGTTGGTGCCAAAGCAAGTCCGGTTTCAGACCATACATTTTCAATAATTATAGCGAGGCTCAAACACATCTTTATTAATCAAAATAGGAACCATTATAATCAACACATTTTTGCCAACAAGAAGTAAGTTTAAGCCTGTGGCATAAAAATGCGTGCTTTGGTGTGTGTGTGGGGGTCAGCAGGTGGTGTGGTGGTTAAGGTGCTGCACACCCACATGACCGACAGTGGTTCAAGTCCTGGACCTGTGACTTGAAAATCATGCTGAGTGCATGTATGTGTGTGTGTGTGTGTGTGTGTGTGTGTGTGTGCGTGTGTGCCTAAAAATCCTGAGGAGAATGAAGAAGGGATTGTGATGTGGTCATATCCTCTGGGGGGCGGTTTCTTACTTTTCCTCTTTCTCTCTGGTGAGCACACATGCCCTATTGCAAAAACAAAAGTAAAACAAATCTGTTTCTTTTTTTTTAAGAGAGTGATATTTGCTATAGGGTGTGTGCATTCACTGGAGAGACAGAGAGACAGAAAGTGAGAAATCACCCTTCAGGGGGCTTGCCACACTGCAGTCCCTTCTTTGCTCTCCTTCCAGGATCCTGGGCACACATGCACATATGACCTGAGTGAGTTTGAGGCCACCAGGTCCAGGACTTGAACCGCAGTGAGCCATGTGGGAACCCAGTAGCATAACCATTATGCCATCTGCTGGCTCTTGACGGACTTTTGGAAAGAATCTTCTGCATTTTGC